TCACAAAAATAGCAAGTGATGGAGGAAGGAAATCTTCTTGTGTTTGAGAGGTTAGGAAGACTAAGTGAGAAAATTCGAATGAAGAGTGGTGGTGGTGTATTCTCGGCCATGAATAAGAGAGGAGAAAAGAGAAGGGTTTGTTGGTTAATACATGATGGCTTAGGGTGTCCTAGCTTAGATATTGTCACACCCCAAAACCAAGAACGGCAGGTCCCACTGTAGCTAGCAACAAGGTGTAGGATAGTCAATCCAGTATAGATCTATACGCAAACTCATGCTCTCCTTCCAAGAGATTTTGGATACAAATCGGGCCATGGTAGTGAAGACATGCTCCGAAATAGTGGATCACATTTTTGTTATAGTATACTTGTATATGTAATGTATGTACTAGTGTAGTGAATGTATTGTTTCTCAACATAGTAACGTTGTATAGTTTCTCATAATAGTATCGTTGTATAGTTTCTCATCATAGTATAGTATTTACTCATGAATGAACTGAGTCTTTGTATGTTTCTTTGTACCAGCAATAGTAAGTAGTATAACTCTAAACTATACCTATTATAGTTTAATAGTAATGTTGATTATATATCTGAGTGTACCGAAATAAGAAAACGAGCTTTTATGTCTATACATATACACATGATATATAACTAAGGATCAAATGACACTCGAAAAAACAATAGGGTACTCTAAGTCCATAACCAAACAAGGAATAGGAAATAGAGTGTATTATCAGTCCTAAGTCCTTCAAACCTTACTTATATAACTATATATGTATTGGACATGATTTGATAGTATAAGAGTTTAAAAAATTGAAAGTAAAGATTTGGAAACTATAACTAAGTTTTATAAAGAGTTTAACATTTAAAAGTGTTTGATAATCATTTGAAAGTAGTTTTGTTAACAAAACAGTTTTAAGTATAGAAAATCCATTTGTATGCTAGTTATTAACCACATGTGATTAATATAATAACTAGTGTGATTCAACTTGTATTCCCCCCATAAAAGCATTTAAAAACATTTAAAAGGTTGATCAAGGGGTATGAACTCACCTGTAGTGAGTGAACTGTACGGGAGTATTGGACAAGGTGCTAGGTGTCAAGTGAAGACTTGAACACACACAATGATCCTAAATAACATATAATAACATATATATGTATCCAATTAGTCATTTAACAACTAATTAACTAAGTTAAGACACCCTAACACATGAAAACACTTTGATTCAAGTGCTATAGGTACCAAAGGGTTGCATCTAAAGATTGCTTGGATAACATTCAAGTTTATGGCCCAAGGACCACTCCTTAAGGAGTTTACGGCCTAAGGTCAATTCCCCCATGAGTTTAAGGTCGTAAACTCATGGTACTTAGTGCCATTTGGTGTTGAGGTATTATAAGTCAAGATTGATCATCCTATGATCAAGTCCAAGCCTTAGGAAGCATTAGGGAAACAATGGCACCACTTTATAGAGTTTACAGCCTAAGGACCATTTCATTATGAGTTTATGGTCGTAAACTCTATGTGCACTTGATCTTTTTGATGTTTAAGGTCCTAAACACTTCAAGGAAGTGATCTAGACTAGTATCTAAGGCCAAGGAAGGGACTAGGGTGCACTTTGCCCCATCTATTAAGGTTTACGGCCCAAGAACATGTCTTAGCCGTAAACACCTTTGATCTTGTGTTTCTTTGTGATTTCTAGATGTAAACAAGTGCATTTCAAGTATATAATAATCTAGGACTAGTGTACTTACAATATAGAAGTTTGATTGGGTGTTTAAGGTCCAAGAACACTAGTGTGTGTTCTTGGTGCTCTTGGTGTTTTAAAGAACACTTGAAGATCTAAGTGAAAATCAAGAATGTATAGCTAAAATGATGTATAACAACTAGATGTAAGGTTATAACAACAAATCAAGTGAAGAAACACTTACGTTTTCGGAAGATCGGAAGAAGAGTGGGATGATACTTGAGAGAGAATGGTGGGAGTTCTTGAGTTAGGAAGTTGGGGAATGAAAGAATGGAGAGTAAACTCAAGCCTAAAGCATGAGTTTGCGGCCCTAAGGGAGTTCACGGGCCAAACCCCCTATGTTTTTCCGTGAACACCAAACGAAGGTGTTATGTGTGTGTTTGCTACTCCAAGACCCAAGAGAATACCTCCTTTTATTCGTTCATTTCAAGAATAATTATTAAAAATACTCATACAGACTTTAAACCGGCTAAAAATTAGTAGAAAAGTATTTAACTTTTAATTGAAGTGTTTGAATGTAGGGTTTGTACAAATGGAAATTTCGGGTTTTCATAGATATATATGAGGCATAATACCCAGATTACCTATAAATAATAATTAGGTGTCAAGCATTTAAATTACTTTGTTTTATTTTGTACATATTTATAAAACCGAGAATGACAAGGAAAATGAGAGAATATGGACCTTGGGCTTGTGATAGCTTTTGCCCATTAGGGAGTTTTGATCCATGTGGACCCACATATGTGTTGACGGCCCAACATGACAAAGGAATGCGTTTCGGCCCATTGAGGCTCACCAAAATTATTTACGGCCCATTAAGGCCCATGAAGGGTTTTGTGGCCCAAAAACCAATAACTTAGTGAATGTGGGTCCAATTAGGGCCCAAATGAGATTTCTTAACCCAAAAGAATCAAATTGAGATTTTATTGGCCCATTAGGCCCAATAAGAGGGTTATGGTCCAATAAGAGTTTGAACCGGGAAATTAGGGTTACAACCCAAAGTCGAGTGTATGAAATGCATTGAATTAGGTTTTGGGATTCTCGAGTGAGTTTTGATTAGAAACGGTTGCTTTTGAATTGAATATCATGAATAGCTTCAAGAGTCATCAAGAGTTAATCATAAATAGATAGAATTTCCTAGCTAAAAATCCTAGTTGTGACACAATGAGTAATGGATTCCTTCATTAATCATGTTTCATTGATGGATCAAACTGCCTCATCAATTATTCTCACAGTGAAGCAAAATCATAACATAATCATTGATTTAAATGCTTAGAAATACTCCACTACTATTCAATAATTGATTGAATATCTCAATCATTCAGTGCTGAAGAAATCCCTCACTCATCATGAAGAAGTATTGTTATCTGCACTGATATTAGCTTACTAGACTGCAAGTTACAATATATCGAAACATGTGATGAGTTTTGATATTTAAGGTTATAAGACGAAGATTACTAAAGTAAATTTATGCATGCTGCTAAGGTTATCTACTAAGGAATCTTATTTGAATCTGAATTTGGTTCCATCTGCGAACATGCTTAAGGTTTTTCATCAGATGGGCTACAATCTTGTTTTGCTTGTTTTATCTAAGTTCAAGAAGTCATGTTTACCAGTAATTTGGAATGCCATCTTCACTATCTTTTTCAAGTTCTTTTTTGAAAGAACATCTAGCTCAGACAATGCGATCAGATTGTTTCATACTTTGAGGTATGACACGTACACTAGTGAGAAGATTGACCTTCTTCAAGTGCACTGGGCTTAGTTGTTTCAAATCTATACTTCTGCTATGAAAGACTCATAAATTTTGTGTCTTTTTTTATGTCTATAGTGGTCAAATTAACATGGTCATGACCATTATCAACTTCCAAAGATGACAAATATGTGAATGATGATAATTCCCAAGATGAATATTTCAACATTCATAACTACTGGTGATGATAATTTTCATCATATTAGTTCTATTTTGGAGGTTATTCTTGTAAGGGTGCCTCAAAACAACGAAATTATCAACATTTACAAACAGGTCCCAAAATTTGGTGAAATGAGTATTCTAGCTTCGTTACAATTTGTTCTTGATTTTGTAGTTGTACAAAGAAGGATGAGGGTTAAATGGAAAGCAAAAGCAATATAATATGTCTTCCCTACGAAGCCTAAGTCCTAAAGGAAGTTGAAAAAGAAGACTCAAGTTTTTGTTGTTGATGAGGTATCAGAGGAGCATACTATCATTGAGAATCGTTTCGCAGATATAGATCACAATGATGATGATACTGCGAGATCATCATACCAGCCAAAGATAACAAAGCAATCTACCATAATTAAGATATCTACCAAAATTGCGAATCTTTAATCTTTGCAGATTCCCAAGGTATCATTTGTTCATATAACAACTACTACTACTTCTCTCACAACTCCTATCCAGAATGATATTTTTCACAATATCATAAATGAACCTATTGTTAGTCTTTCTTAATCACTATCACCTATGCCACCACTACCACCTCCACAAACAACATCGCCAATTCCATCTACTACTTTACAAATTCCAAATACACCAATTCACACACCTTAAACCACATTACTAATCTTAATCACTCCTATCATCACAAATTCAATTGTTCCTCCACAAGTCCACAATCCACTTCTCACAAACAACTTCAATTATTCCTCCCACAACTCATATTTTCTCTACTCTTACATCAGAGCCACTAAAAACAAATATTGTGCAGAATGATGATAATCGAATATGATGGTGATGATGAATTTGTTATAGAAGATGAACCAGAGGGTACGAAGTCCTTTAAAGGCTTCATTGAACCAATTTTGGCATCAAGTATGGTTGATGATGAAAGTGATTGGATGAAGAAAATGAAAATACTCCAATGATGAAAAGAGATTTCAAGGCTCTAAGAAGGAAGATGAACATGTTGGTGCGACACTCTGAAATTTTCTCTACTTGTAATTTTGAACATGTGATGAGAGTTCATGAGTCTATGGTGAAGATCTTGTTGTCTGAAAGCAAAAGATTATTTGAATAGCATGAAAAGTTCATAACTGCTACCAATGCGAAGATGGTTGTTGCACTGAATGAAAGTAAAAGAGATTTGTACTGTAAATTTCAATGATAACACAATGCACAACTCTACAATATCTAACTCCATCAATACCTTGGTTTCACATTATGATATTGAAGCAAAAATGTCAGATATCAATGCTACTAAAGAAGATCAATTTGCTCAAAGCATAATTAAAAACTATGAAAACAGAACTTCTGATAAAGGATGATAAATTGGTTCTTGTCAAGGGTAGAAATTTTAAGATAAATCAAGGGCTTGTCAAGATTGTTGAAAATAAATACGCTCCCAATGTTGAATACATTTCACAACTTTTGAATGCAAAGCTTAAACCCTTGTTCTCAAAGTTATCACTTTATAAGGGTGTTACAGATGGCAAGGCTAATTCGCAACAAGTGGGAGATAGGGGATCTAACATCAACATTGTAAATCCATATCAAGTTCTTGATATTCAGAAGATTCTCGAGCTTGAAAGGAAGATTGTTATTGGTGAACAATCTATGGAAAAACGATTAGAAGGTAAAACTCCGGTTATTCCTAATGTTGCTTTAAGTTATGGTACTGTGAAGATTGTTTCGAATACTGAAGTGGATCCTAATGATGTTGAAACTAAAAGGAGGCTCAAATTAAAGAGATGAAGAACTGCAAAGGGTTAAACAACTTCAAATTGAATTAGATCAACAAGAGGCTGAGAAAAGATAGAAATAGGAAATAGATGAAACTTTGAAGGCATTATGACCTAAATGGATACTTAATAGAATCTTAAACGAAGAAATCAAGAATGTGGAGAAGTATTGGTTAAATCCAAGATCCTCTTTCACAGTAGAGAATAAGAGTGATTGTCAATTAAATTTTCCTATGACTGTGAAGGCTTTCGTGTTGAAAAGCTTTCCAATGGTATTATCTTCCTCATACAAACTCAGATTTTGACAAACTTTATATCCACAAAACCATCTCTGAGTGAACTACAACTTTTATTTAGATCCGTTTTGCTAAAAATAATATATTTTCACTTTGAATTTTATAAAAAAAAAAAAAAAAACATTTATCTTTAGAAGTGAAAACGAGGCATTACAAACACCATATTTTAATTTTGTAAGCTTCTCTTAAATTTATTGTAACTAAATGTATATTCTAAGCCTACCCAATATCGAACAACTTTCATGCGTGGAAGCTGATATGGAGACGTGTTTCCATCGATGAACATCATCCCGATGTCTAGTAATTGTGGAGTGGAGTTTGTGGTGGTCACTAATAGCTTCTCTCCTTATCTCTCTATCTCTCTCTTTTTTTTTTTTTTTTTCTCTTTTTCTCTCTTCTGACTTCTCTGGTAGAGTGAACTACATTTTCATACCCTTACAAAATTTGTGGACTGATTTATTGTTTGATATAAAATAGTTATGAAATGGTTTAATAATGAGGTTACTTGCTTTTTCGCCCGTAACATACCAGGTAGCCTAACACGACAAACCAAAATGAAAGGGAAATGAAATTGTCGGTTTCTTTATAAGTACAGGAAACACAAACCATTCATCCCCAATTTCGATAACTCCAACTGTTTCTCTTTTCTCAAATCAAATCAAAAACCTTCAAAAACATGGGAGCACTTTCTCGATTCATAGCTCATGTCTACACCCTTTTCTTAGTATTCTTCACTGTCCTCTTCCTGGAGCTCGTAATCTTAGTTCGCTCAGTCGCCGGAAGTATTGGTTACACGACGGCAGTCGATGACCAACCAATGACCACCGCCCAGTACCTCAAATTGATTGAAGAAAACAACCCAGCGAGTCGATACAAAACCGCCGGATTAGAACGTAAAGAGTGTTCGGTTTGCCTTTCTGTATTCGACGACGGCGATGAAATCAGGAGATTGAAATGCAAGCACACGTTCCACAAGGGTTGCGTTGATAAGTGGCTGGAGCAAGATAGAGCCACATGTCCGATTTGCCGGAGTTTGGTGTTGCCGGAGGCGATCGTGGTTAAATACAGTCAACGACATCAGATTCCTCTGCATCGCCGCCGCAGGGAGTTTTACGGTGGTAGCGATGAGGAGCTCATACTCTTGTTGACTTCTTTACATGGTAATTATATGCGTAGATTTATGTAATTAATTTGTATTTCTAACTTTAGTGATTATAAAATTAATTAGGAAATCCTTTTTAAAGGGTTTCATTCCGTGAAATTATGCAAATTAATAATCTAATAATTCCTAACAATAATTACAATACAAATTGATCGAGGTTGGCTGCCTAACTACGATTGAATGATGTAATTAATTTTGTGTCACATTTTTGATTTTTCCAACTTTTTGTTTGATGTAATTTCTTCTTGAATTGATGCGTATTTAATTATATAAAACACAAACATCTGGTGGAGGTTTTTTGGGTTGATGAGGAGAATGTAATTAAATTCATATCATTTTCGTGGTTGTGACTTGTGTGTCAATCTGTCAATATTTGCTTTTGGGGATCAATTATGCAAAATACATTTCCCTTTGTTGAGTATTCTCTCAAAAAGATTCTGATGATGGATGTCTTTTGCTACTATTGGTCTTGTTTGTTATGTTCAAACTTGGTGATTGAAGATTAAAGTGACTCGTGAGGATACTGATAATTATTGTAAAATACATTGCCTTTAGGTTTTTTACAAAAGAGCGATTTTTCTGGTTCTATTTGGTCTTTCTTTATCTAATTAAAAACTTAAAAATATGTATATATAAACAAAAGAGAAAAACAGAACTACATGGCAATATATAAACGATGTCTTTTTATGTGTAAAAATTGAAATAAAGAATGTGTTTACCGTTTTACATGATTGTTAAGATAATAAAATTTGTTTTAAGACAATTACATGGTGTTCTTGTTTGAATTGAAGTAAACAAAACATTAACAAGAAATTTATCCGGGTTTGTCTAATACATTTGCATTTCTTTCATAATTGAAAACTTTATATATTCGTTTTTAGGTAAACGAAAAAAAAAAGGAGTAATATTTAACCTAACTCACATAGACTTGAACATGAGATTATTGGTTCAAAGCCAAACAATAGTTACCAATTCAAGTACAACAATAGTTACCAATTCTAACTACAACTTTTGTGCTGACTTAAACATAAAAATCTTATTATTATTATATCTTTTTTAAATTAGATTTGTAAAAGAGACAATTGATATTTTCAACCTAGGTTTATAAACATCGTTGACCAATCTAATGTAGAACTTTATATATTTTATGAAAACCATTGTAAAAAACGTTTGTATATTACTTTTGGAGTTATAATTTAAAAAATGATTGGAGGGGGAATCGAAGACCGCCTTCGGATAATTGTCATAAAGGTTCTCTTGATCTAAATCCACTTTGAACATCACTTTAGTGTGCGTGTGTTTGTATATATATATATATATATATATATATATATATATATATATATATATATATATATATATATATATATATATATATATATATATATATATATATATATATATATATATATATATATATATATATATAATGGACGGTAGTTGGAGTCGGCGGCTCTCCTAGGTTCAGGTTTATTTAAGATCATTTTAATTTTGTGTGATCGTGTGATCAAATCTAAAAATAATTTTAAAATGCAAAATAAATGTAAAAATCTAAAATTTTTTTTAAATATTATTTTTGGAACTTGAATTAACTAAAAAAAATAAAATAAAAAAAAAATAAAATTTTTTTTTTTTTTTTTAAAATGTGAATATTCTAATAGAATATTATACTGTAAATATTTTAAAAAAATAACTTTAAAATGGAAAATAAATGGAAAAATCTAAAAATTATTTTTTTTAAATATTATTTTAGGAACTTGAATTAACTAAAATAAATAAAAAAATCCCGTTTTTTTTTTTTAAATACGTGAAATATTCTAATAAAATATTACACTGTACATATTCTAAAAAATAATTTTAAAATACAAAATAAATGGAAAAATCCAAATTTTTTTTTTTTAAAATGCAAAAAAAAAATGCATCTCACGATCTATAAAATTAAGGCTGTGTTTATTATTGGTATGACTAAGTCAGCTCAAACCTTTTTGGCTGACTTGGTCAGCTATATGTGTTTGACAAACATTCTATTCGCGTCTGATTCGGAAATCTAAAGTTGATTGGGAAAGAACTTGGAGATCAGCTGACTCAGAAAATGAGAAAAGTTTCCATCGGTGCCCTTTCTTCTCCCCTTTTAGCGCCCATTCTTCTCCCCAATAAGCAACATCAACCCATTTCTTCCTCTTCCGACCGTCGATCGAAGCTCCTTCCTCGTTTATCAGGTACGCTTCTGCCGTTCTTTTCTTCTCCAACCGATCAAAGCTCCTTGCCCTAATACTACCGATTTGTACCATAGTCAACCCTAATCTTTCTGTAAAAGTTTCGATTTATGCTGTTGAGAGGGTTCCAAGTTTCTATTTTGCTGTTGAATATTCTTTGGCTGTTGAGAGAGATAAAAGTTTCGATTTTTGTTGATATTAGTTGTTCCCTTCATGTTTCCTGTTGAGAGAGAGAGAGATGTATTGAACTGTTTTTGAATCAAAATTGATATTCAAAGCATTAGTTATAGTAGTTCTTGCATATATTTTGGAAATTATTTATGTCTTTCAGTAAAGATTAGGGGCAAATGCTCATTAGATTATGAATTGACTATTTTTTTTCTCTTCACTGTGTTAAGAGTCAAATTTAGATGTAAAAAAGCTTCAAATTGATCGAAAAATGTTTTTTTTAATCAGTGAGAATTCTTAAATTTCTGGTTGACTATTGTTAAACATGATTTTGATCAATGTTGTTTCATTATCATCTTAATTTGGTTTGAAGGGGATAATCTATGATTTTACCATGGTTTTAATATGTTTGTTATGTTGCTAAACATTGTTATATGCGAGTTATATCTTATATTCATGTGATGAATCATCTTTCTACAGTTTTAACACTCTTACATCAAGTCTATTTATTCAGTTATGCATGATTTCTAACTTGAAATTTGTATTTAGTAAATATGAACAATTGTGAAGAGAAGAAATTGATTATATTTGATCGAATGGAAATGTTGGAAACAAGCTGGTGTTTGTTGGAAATGATATTTTTGAACAATTTGTTTTGTATATTATGCAAATTGAAGAAACTCTTTCGTTTTTGGGTCAAATGTTCATATGTGGTATGTGATTAGTTGTGGAAGGGTAAAATGGTCATTTTTTTAGTCAGCGCATTCAGTCAGATGTACAATCAAACAACGTTGTTTCTTACTCACTTATGATTTCTTACCTAGACAGACCTTTCCCAGTCAGCACTTTATCAGTCAGAAACTATCAAACGGGGCCTAAGCCTTCTCACATGAACCTAACCCTATATATATATATATATATATATATATATATATATATATATATATATATATATATATATATATATATATATAGTTTCAAATGAAACCAATTATATAATTGAGAACCCAACAACAAATCTGGGCCAAAAAATTTTTTGCCGCAAAACTCACCAACATACCGGCGCTACGGAGGAATTTAATATTAATATGTTAATAAGTATATTCATATATGAATATTAAGTTCCACCGTCGTGCCGGTATTCGTGAGAATTTTGTGATATATATATATATATATATATATATATATATATATATATATATATATATATATATACTAGTTGTGTACCCGCACAAAGCAGCGGGGAAAAGTTATTCCGAGCAGTGATTATTTCATTTCGGTGAATAATTTTTTTGTTGCTATCAGATTAAACCATAAAAACCATTACGTATCAACCAAGTTTCAAGATATTGATAATTCTTTAGTTCTTATTATCTCAAAAGCTGGTAAATTCATTTCGTAGTCACTTCCTTGCAAGTTACAATTAAGCAATCAGAATGTTAACTTCAAATAACTGTAACATCTTAACTTATTTTGAAAATTTGACCGGATTGATGGATTGTGAGTTTGTAATATTCAACCCGGTTTTTTTTATTTCCGGTCTATGTTGAGTTGCTTTAATGGTCTTGTATAATCTTAACACAAATCTTTATCAATATTAGTTTCCTTTCCGTGAATAGTTTCGAGTATGCAATTATTTTTTCGAGGATAACAAATAGCTTGTCTTTCAGAGATTATTTTCCTAAGACATTTTGTATTGAAATAGAGTTTACAAAATTATTTCAAACAATTTCCTTTAGGAGCAATAGTTCCTCCTTAGGTTTGTGAAGTCGTCGTAGTTATGGTATATAGCAGGTTAGAAGTTTTTGTTGATCCGTTATCAATTCTAGTTCAATTTGTGGTATCTAGAAGGTAATGAGGTTAACTAATACAAATGCAATTTTTAGTTTTAGTTCTTTTTTTGAATGATTCTCTTGCGTCATTATTTTTTCCTTTTTTAGTAAAAATTTGGAAAACACGTTTAGTTAAAACTTGTTTACTTTTCATTTTCTATTATAGAAAGTTAGAAAAAATGTTTATATGTGTATTTTTCTATCATTTTTCATTTTTAGAAAAGGTGGTGGTAGTAAGGTGTGGATGAGTAGGGGTAAGGTAGGGTAGTGGTGTTAGCAGTGGTAGTGTTGGCACTGGTGGGTAGGGGTGGCAACAGCAGTAGAGGTGGTGGTGGTGATGTCATAATGTGATGGGTGGGGGATAGAGTAGGGGTGGTGGCGGTGGTCGTGTTAGTGGCGTCGGTAATTCAGATCTGTTAGCTACCCTTATGAGTATAGAATAGTTCTTCGCTGAAGATATTTGTTCATTGTCGAACATATCTGTTTGTCGTGGCGTTGTATAGTCTTCGTGGGGAGACGGAGATCTGGAGAAGGTGACGTTAAGATGGTGTTCATGGCCGAGTTCTAATTTTCCGACATGTGGTGGTGGTGATGGTTGCTTTCAGGTTTTTCTGGTTTGTTGCTTTCAGGTTTTTCTGGTTTGTTGTTGAGAGGAGATAGTAAATCAGAGAAACAAAATGTGTTAAGGAGGTGGTGGGTGTGATAGCATGGTAAAGGTGTGTGGGTTTTTCATTTTTTATTTTCTTATAAATATAGGATTGAAAAAGAAAAAGGTAAGAGCATAATTGTTATTTTAAAAATGTTCAAAACAAATTGGACCAAATACACAACAAATAAAACCTTTTGGACCATTGATCCAACTCCAAAATATTTTGGACCAATGTCCCACTTTTTGACTTACGACATGGACTAAATTTGCAATTCTATCAAAAAAAACATGCGAAAAAACAAAATTAAACCGTACACCTACCCTCATGCGTAATTGTTTCAAAAAATTATTATTAACGTGTGGTTATAATTTAAAAATTAACAAATCCAAAATTATCTGAAATTATCTGAAAAACCGATATCCAAAATTCTAATATCCGGTTATTTGGACAAATGGTCAAATGCGACTTATTTTATGTTAATTGGCTTGACTTATTTTATGTTACAATGTCGTATACGATTTGAGATTTTCGTGTACAAACAAAAGCAACTAATTGCAATAAATTTAATATAAAGGTATAATAAAATTTGGTAACAATTATATTCTAAATCTCAAACAAAAACGAATTGATCCAAATGGTTCTCTTAAAGCAACCGAGAATATAACTTTATAAACAACTTTAATTTAAGCTATCGCCTATTATAATTTTGTTTTTTTTCTTAGGCTTACCGATATACTCTCACGAACGGATCCATGGTTGAGGTGGCAACGAACAACGGACATGCACACCAGCCCATCAGTTCGTGGTTAAGGTTTTACGTGGTGTTTCGTGGTGGGCATCACGAGTGTAAACGACCAATGGTCGTCTTCTTCTCTCCCAGCTTCTTCTTCTCTCTCTTCTGTCTTTCTCTTTTCTCTCTTCTTTCCGGTAGTGGTGAGTATACCGGTGGTTCATGGTCGCCTGAGGTGGCTGACCTGAAAGATCTCCATGACCGTTGTCGTGGAGAGTATACTGGATGGTCTTACACCACAACACCATGCGACAAGCACTATAGAAATTTACTTTTTTGAGTGTCTTTCCAAAAAACACTTCAATGCTATGTATGTATCTACTTTGATAAGATAGTACAAAAAACAAAACTAAAATTTGCATTAGACATGCTCATAACCATTCACACAGGGTGTCGACTTAGTCACATACACATGCACACTAAAGCAGACATCCACAACGACACACAAAGAAAAGATAATTGCAATGATTTAAAAGAAATCATTTTTTTAAATTAGTTTTGAAAAAATAAATACCAATTATAGCATTCTACTTTCAAATATTTTCTTAGTAGGACATTGTGCTTTTATCCCTTACCCAATTAAAGACAAAAGCATAATGTCCTACTTTGGGGGTCTCACCATTCAGATACAATTTTTATAATCATCAATAGTTTCTTGCCGATGGTTCTCCAAAATGGTTTGGGAAAAATATGTAAAACTGGAAACGCTTACTTCATTGAAAGTAAGATTAGTAACATTATGAAAAAAAAAAATCAAAACTAAAGAAGTCAAAGTATATTGTTCTACCCATTGTTTAATCATCGTTTATGAGTAAATAAAAATCTAAATCATAACCTGATTGAATATGAGCCGTTGTAATCCTTTACAATATTCCAGTCCAACTAACACATAGTTGGAATACTTCACATTATCACCACCAACCACATCTATTCCACACTCCTTTCTTTTTCATATAATGAAAAAAGAACCTAATAAAACAATTAACAACCAAAATCATAACCTGATCAAATGACTAAAATAAGAATTTAAAAATCATATTAGATACCAAAGATAACTAACCTGGAGGCCTTTCAATTAGGCATGACCCTGAGCACGAGTTCCAAGCATCTACACACATGCTACATAATATTAAAGCAGATCAACAACCAGGAAATTAGGGGAAATTAATAAACTATCATTGAATATGGAATTGACTCAGCCTTACCTGAAGGGCTACTTGTTGTATAGGAGTTGCTAAAACTGACCATTTACTTTCTACACAAAATTAATGAACTTTTGTATAACCAACATTTAGCAAGTATAAACCTTTAAGATACACATTTAGGAAAAAAAAAAAAAAAACAGTAAAGAATTTAGAGGTGGGATGGAGTCATGGTGGTTAGTGGTGATACCAGCAGACGGTGATAACAGTGGCTGTGAGTGGTATTGATGGTGGTAGATCGGGAAGCAAGAGGCTGAGAAGAGACACAGGTTGCGACTTTGGTCGCTGCATAGGCGTAGTTGGCAGAAGATTGAGGAAACTAATATAGGAAAAATTCATACTTACCTTTCGCTCACCATCTCCAGAAATATGAAATAGATTTTATATTAAAACCATGTGACATCATTCGATAGAGAGAAAAAATATAGGAAAAATTCGTACTTACCTTTCAGGTTCACGATGAAATTGAAGAAGCACACGTCAAATCATCTTCTAGCAATGTCGATTTCGTGTGTGTTTGTGTGTGTGTGTGAAAGATTAGTGTTCCTTTTGGAAGGAATTTGAAACCCATTCATATAATCGGTGTTGAAGGGCTTCAGACCGTCACCATTTCTTGTAAAATCGAAAGGACAAAACTTTGAGACAAAACATAAACAAAACAAAAGCTATCAAGCACCCTAACCCCAAAGCCTCAATTGATTTGGATCTTTTCCCATAGTTAACTTATCTTGAAGAGGTGTCGTGGCTAAAGTTTAATGTGACTATAGATGGGGAATGGTGTGCGTGGTGGTGGAAAAGATGCACTAGGAGTTTCTTTCTATAGATATCGGCGGGGCTGGTCTTACGATGTCATGACAGTGGCAAGGAGGAAAACGATGGTGGATTGTGTTGCTGAAAAATGGTTGTCGTGGTTGGTGAGTGACGGCTAGTGTTAGTGTTAAAGAGTTGTGAATAATTTGAAGGTTGTGAGAAGGGATTTAGGGTTTCCTATCTAGGGGAAGATAAGTTGCTTCAAAATGGGGCGGAAAACAAAGAGCCGTGGAACGAAGGACTTGATTGGTGTAATCGAGGGTATTGCGTGTGGGTGTGGGGAAAAGGGAATCTGATCCTTCTATTTTTTTGCTCTGTAGGTGGCGAGATGTGCAGAGGTGAAGACAGAGGCGCTTTCATAGGAAATAAAAACAATGGTGAAGGTCGTTGGCGGGTGGAGAGATGGAAGAGAGGGTAGTGCTGGTGATGACTGATAAATTATCTTCAATTGAACCCCTTTTCAGTGTATAGATAAGAAGATGCCGACGAATATAAGGGAAAAAGGAGGCTAGATTTTTCGAATTAAGAGGAAACTATGTCGAGCAATGGTGCAGGTCGCCGACGGGAGGATAGAATAAGGAGAGAGGTGGTGTTGTTGACGATAGCTAGGGTTTAACCGGAAGGAAATGGATGTGCTTCCATGATTCGCTATAATTTGTGGAGTCTATTAGTCATATAAACCGATAAGAGGGAATATATATATATATATATATATATATATATATATATATATATCACTTGAACGTCTTAAAAAAAATAATATTAGTTTATTCAATCTATTTTTAGAAATAGAAAAAAAAAATTATAAGATAGTAAAGATATATATATATATATATATATATATATATATATATATATATATATATATATATATATATATATATATATATATATATATGGAGAGAGAGAGAGCTAGGTTCAAATGTTTTTAATAAGTATTGTGTGCCTAAATGCACCAATGAGAATTCAAGAAATAATAAATAATTAAATAAATCATTTAAGGGTAAATTAGTAATATTGCTTGTATATTAAATAAATTCCAAAATTAAAATCAAATCAAATCCTTAAAAAATTGCAAATAAGTTTTTAAACCCTACAAAAACCACCATACCACAAAAGTAATTGACGTGTTCTTTCCCCACAGCAGCCATCAAACACCAAATCACAACCATTGACGTCTCTTTCTTCATCCGAGACAATCGCATCCGGCAAGTGTATTATGATCAAGGGTATTTTTGGTACCTGATATGAAGCAAGAGACAATCTCGATCTACCACCGCCTTGCCTCCTCAAGATGGCACTTATTTCCCCGCCACAACTACACATGGTGTCGAGTCAATGTTTTCACTGAGGGTGCCGACTCCATGTCTGCAACATGATGCGAAATTTTATAACAGGCTTATTATTTCATCCTACTCTCTCAATATTGTTGGTTTCTTTAATCAATAAATTTATTTGTAAATCCAGTTTATTATCTTGGGTTCAGTTTTATCTCGATCTGAATTTGATTGAATTCTTTAAGGAAGAAAAAAATCATTGATACTTCTACATAGTAAAACAATGTAATTGTGGTATGCATTCTAAATCAAATATGTTATTGGAAATTATGTTTATAGGTAAACTATTGCAAGTAAATCAAATATGGTTTTTGGCTTGTTTGATGATAATGCCTAACAAGTGTTTGTTGAAATGCCTGAAAGAGAATTTAAAGAATTTAACCTTGTGGTATGCATTCTGTCAAAATTACTAACAACACATGTTTTTTGTAATTGTTTAAAAAGATAATTAATTTGTCTGAGTATTATTTTGGTTCAATTTGTGATTTTGAATTCCAATTTCTATTGTCTCTCGTTATTGTATTTTTGAAATCTAAAATTATATTAGCAGTAAATACAATACTTTTGAATGTATTCTATGTATTCTATCAGAATGTATTCTACCAGAATAAAATCGATGTATTTTGTTAGAATGTATTATATGTATTCTGCCATATGTTATGTATCCTACCAAAATATATTAAGTGATAGTTAATTGCAAGTAACATATTTTTAACAATTATTGGTTTTTGTTGTATTTGTGATACGAATGGCTGGAAGAAGGCGTTGAAGACCTAATATGAATAACTTGAAGAATGAATAAAGTTTGATAATACTCACAATTTAAGAATGTTATTATTTTTTAAGAATTTTAATCATTTTTGTTGATATTCTTTTAAAATATGTATAATTATATTAAAATGTATAAGGAGTTTAGTCTGTAAGAATATGTATGAATTTGTATTTTAAGTTCGGATGTATAAGAATATATTATAATATGTATGAATTTGTATTTTAAGTTCGGATGTATAAGAATATATTATAATGTTTATTATTTTTCAACATCTGATTCAAGAATTTTGTTTTTCTTCAATAATATTCTATTAGAATAAAATTCTGAAAGAGCATCATTCTAACAAAAAAATATTCTGACAGAATAAAATCAGTAAAAATTGAAATTGAATTAATTAAAAAATTCATATTTTTTTTTTAAATTAGGAGAATTAATCATCCCTAAAAATCCGAAAATTTCCTTTTATAAATGTAGTTAATTGTCCAAAATACCCTTTTGCTAAAAATTATGTGATTATATGGTACATGTTACCCCATTGTAATATCATACACTCTCAAATCATGTTCATTGATTAATTTCATCCGTTTGTGCAGATCTGTGCGTTCTGACACACAATACTTAGTAAAAACAAAATAACCTAGCCATATATATATATATATATATATATATATATATATATATATATATATATATATATATATATATATATATATATATATATATATATATATATATATGGGCCCCAAACCGATAGAGGGCCCGTGACTTTGTATATGGTGCTAGTGGAGAAAAGACCGATATAGGCTTAGCTCAAGAGTTGATAAAATTTAGATAAAAGTGCAAAAACGGTCTCTATGTATTATTGTATTTTTACAGTTTTTGTCCAAACCATGATTTTTTTTTTGGCTTTGTGGTCGTTTTGGCCTAGTTTGATTATGGTTTTGGTCCTTTAGAAAACCAAAGAAACTAAATTGTTATTCTAATCTATTTTTTTATATTTTTTCTATTTAATTTAATGACTTATTATTAATAAACTTTAGGCCCCACCTCTTTCTCTCTCTATATCTCTCTCTCTCTCTCACTCATACACACACATAGTCAACAAGAAAAACATTTACTCTCCCTCCCATAACTCTCGATATTTTCGTCTATCTCCTCCAATCTCCACCAGTTCTGCATACTGCCATTGTTGCCCGTAACTTCTACCACTGCCGACCATCCCTTATGTGACAACCGTCAAATTTCGGTCAAGACAAAGTCAACCGAAGTCAACAAGTCAAACCGTTTGACTCAATTTGCCCGTGGGTACTAGAATTTACATTATGAAACTTCAACATAACTCTCTATTCTAATGAGAAATCATAAAGCAAAAAGTGCGAACACCTAGATCTCCTTAACCTAAAAACTGTGGTACGTGGCTAGCCAAACCGATAAAACAATGTTGCATACTCATCGGGAGTGTGTAAGATCCTTAAACAGGGCTTAACAGTGTTTACGGACCTTGCATTACGAAGCCAAACACTCAACATTATCACACATGGAACCTCTCTCAATCGTTTTCACTCTATCTCTCTCTATGAAAAATCTCTCCCAAATCTCTCTTAAATATCTCTAAGTATGAGAAATCTCTCCAAGAATGTCAAATCTCTCCCAAATCTCTCCAAGTATGTGAAATCTCTCTCAAATACCTCTCTGTATGAGAAATCTCTCCAAGAATGTCAAATCTCTCCCAGATCTCTCCAAGTATGTGAAATCTCTCTCAAATATCTCTTTGTATGAGAAATCTCTCCAAGAATGTCAAATCTCTCCCAAATCTCTCCAAGTATGTGAAATCTCTCCCAAATCTCCCTCAAATAGTTCCCGTAACTTTTTAGGATCATTCGGGTCATTCCAACCCTTAACCGGGTCAAAAACGGCTCAAAACAGGGCGAAAACGAGAAAAATAGGCTTTAGGAACCGAAACCAAGAAGAGAGGCCTCTTAGGACCAGAACCGAGCCTCTGTTGGCTAAGACACGCGAGGACCGAGCCTCTGTTGGCTAAGGCACGCGAGGACCGAGCCTCTGTTGGCTAATGCACGCGAGGACCGAGCCTCTGCTCTAGGTCTCCCCTCTCGGTTCCCTGCTCCGCCTCTCGGTTCCCTTGCTTCCCTCTCTGTCTCTTCCCTACTCTCGGTCTCTGCTCCTTCTCTCCTCTCTGCCTCTACCCGCCTCTCTGTTCTCTTCTTCCCTCTCGGTTCCTCTCCTCTCTCTTCTCCACTCTCGGTTCCTGCTCTCTCCCTTCTCCCCTCTCAGTTTCTACCCTCCCTCCTCTCGGTTTCAGCATCAGAAGGCCGAACCTCGGCCAGATTTCGGAAATTTGTCACTTTTAGCCCCTTTTTGATATTTTTAACATTTTAAGCCCGTTTTTCGTGATTTTAAAGCGGGATTTTCTCCAGAAATT